ATAAAATAATTATAAATTTGCAAACATAAATATTACAAATCTTGAGATATAATAATTCGAGTCGAGTAAAGACCAGTTCATGATAAACGAATATGGCGACCCATTTTTGGAGGGTTCTGAAAACTTTATAACTGAAAAAAATTTTAAACAAGTATGAAAGTAAGTATCAGTTGATTTTTTCGACAAATGTATATCCTCCACCAGTGGACGTTTTATAAAATAAATTTTGACTTGCGTAATGATTATTAAAATATTGATCCTTTATTGAGATGGTATTGAAGGATTGTGTCAATTTCGCAGCTGACCTGAGTCGGATATTAATATTGCAAAGTGCCAGATTTGGATTATATCGACTACTTCCTTTATATGTAATATGGAATGATTTTTGTATAAGGTTCCTGATATAGTAGATCGATGTATTCATTTCCTCTAATAATGATAAAAAATATTGGGTTTTGCACATCCTAATATTTATACCCTACAACACTATGTGTTGGGGGTATTAAAAGTTTGATTGGGCCAGAATTTATGTAACACCTCGAAATATTGGTTTCCCATATAGGAAAGTATATATAGATCTTCCTAGCTCGCCGAGCTGAGTCGATCTTACTATGTATGTCCGTCCGTCCGTCTGTCCGTCTGTCCATGTTAATTTGTAATCACTCTACAGGTCGCAATTATGGCCCGATCTTCACGAAATTTAAAATGGAGGTGGGGTTAGGGTCAGAATAGAAGCCTATTTCTTTTGGAGATGATCGCCAAATGTTTAGGAGTTGAAATGGACCAAATATTGAAAAAATGTCGGATTTTGCAGTAGCTATACAGGTCGCAATTATAGACCAATCGGCGCGAAATTTCGCATGTAGCTCGAGTTTAGGGCGGGGATGAAGCCTCCCAATTTGGGTGGTCATTGGATAATATTTAGCGGGTAAAATAGACCATATCTTTTCTGTTGAAAAAATTCAACATTTTTCATTAAACCGCGAATATTTTAAATCCCGGCGAAATCAAGAAGCCATGACAAGATTACTTCTGACCTTTACATTGATGTTGACATCCAACAAATCGGATATATAGCAAAATATGTGCGATATATATGTCTATCAAAGAAGATATGCCTGAAAGATCTCTTTTATGTCGAGAACGGCTGAACTGATTTCGACAGTTCTCATTAATTCAGAATGGCCTCTTGGCAGGAAAGAAAAAACGTCTAAAAAAATCGCATAAAAATATCTCTCTAAAGACGAAATTTTGCATGGGTATAAGATGAGGGTCAGAATAGAAGCCTACTCTTTTTGGAGATGATCGCCATATATTTAGGGGTTGAAATGGACCAAAAAACTGCAAAATTGTCAGCAGGTCGTAATTATCGCCCGATCCTCACGCACATTTGAATGGGGGTTACCGGACATTGCAAAAGCCAAGCAGTTTTGGATGGCCATCCAAAAATATTCAATGTGTGAAATAGTGTGCCAACTTTTGTGGACAAAATACGAAAATGTCCATTCCAGTGACTCTTTGGAGAATTCACAAATACAGGAAAGACGCACTTCTGACTACTTCGTTAACGCTGATTTCGTGGAAGAATATAGTCAAATGTCTGTATCTCATATAGATGCGTTTCAGTCAAAAACCAATAATAAATGTTAATCTTTTGCCACTTCTGAGAGATTATAGGTCTTTGGGAAATATTGGTTCCAGATCTAGGAAGACAATTTAAGTGCAACATCTACCAATAAATTGGAAATGAGCAAATTAGTTTAAGTTGCTATTATTCGAAAATTAGAGAACGAAACCTGATGGTTTTCTTTTATAATTTGTCACAATATGTTGTGGAATTCTTTCGAGTATCTCGCCTATATAAACAGTATCGTTTATTATAGTGTTGTAGGGTATTCAACGGTCGGCCCCGCTCGACTGTAGCCTTTGCTTACTTGTTTATATTAACATGGTCCTGTCATGAGCTGTTATCTGGATAGTATAGACACAAACCATTTGCTCAAAATGCATTTTGTCTAGTCTTTACCATTTTAGGTCTTTGATAAACGGTCTTAGTGGTATATGTAGATCGAGTTTGAATTCAGATAATTTTATAAAAAAAAATTCTTTACACAAAGGTGGAGGGTATTAAAAGTTCGGCCCCGCCGAATTTAATGCTTTTACTAAATTAAGTCTTTTTTTACTTTTTGTACCCTACAACACAATGTGTTTGGGGTATTATAAGTTTGATTGGGCCAAAAAAATTTTGTAACACCTCGAAATATTGGTTTCCCACATAGGAAAGAATATATGGATTTTCCTATCTCGCCGAGCTGAGTCGATCTAGCTATGTATGCCCGTCCGTCTGTCCATGTTAATTTGTAATCACTCTACAGGTCGCAATTATGGCCCCATCCTCACGAAATTTTGCATGGAGGTGGGGTTATGGTCAGAATAGAATGGAGATGATCGCATAATATTTCAGGGTTGAAATGGACCAAAAACAAAAAAATTCCTGATTTTGCAGTTGCGCAGTTATAGACCAATCGAAGTGGAAGTTAGCATAAGACTAGAGCTTAGAAGTCTTCCAATTTCGATGGTCATCGGGTAATATTTAGTGGGTGAAATAGATCATAACATTTGTGTTAAATGAAAGTCAAATTTGCCATAAAACCGCGAATATTTTTAATCCCGGCGAAATCACAAATAGACGTAAATTCCGATAGTAAATATATCGGATATATATAGCGAAATATATATAATGTATATATACAAAGGAAGGGGATGTTAGCTAGAATGCTTATATCTCGAGAATGACTGGACCGATTTTGACAAATTTTGTCAATTAAGAATGCCCTCTTGGCATAAGAGTATAAAATCTAAAAAATCTCATAAAAATATGCAAATAATGATGTTAATATTGATTTTGTAATATTTTGTGACTTTTTTTTATTTTTTCATATTTTTTATCGCATGCGATTTTTTCAATTTGACTTATAATATTGAAGTGTATATTTTGTAATATTTTTTCACTTTACAACACAGGTTGGGGATATTATATAAGTATTGCAAATATTGTCCGATCCTCACGAAAAGGGTTGGGTTAGGTTCAGAATGGCTACGCCTATTGTTTTCAAAGATGGACCAAAAACAAAGAAATGGACCAAAAACAAAAAATGTTTCTGAATTTGCAGCCGTTATAATACAAATAGAAACCAAAGGATACAAAATCTCGCATGAAGTTAGAGTTTAGGACTCTGGGTAGAATGGACCACTACTTTGTGTAAAAAACACCAGCATTACTTACAGGCGATATCCGACGACAGCCAAATATCGTAGACAATAAAATCATATAGATGAGTTTAAATTTGGAGATTCAGAGGGGCCTCCTGTTTTTGGAGATGGTTCAAATGAACCGATATGCCTGGGAAGAGTTCTAGCATTTTTGCACAACAACTAACAACACTACATAGTTCGTAAATATTGGCCAAATGTCCCTGTTCAAAATGCTAAGCGTAATATCTGCGCAGTGCTTCGTGACATAGTTCCAAAAGCGAAATCTTCCAAAATGGATTAGACATAAGAGGGCTTCTAACATGTTGTAGTGTTGTAGGGTATCACATGGTCGGCCCCGCGCGACTATAGCCTTTGCTTACTTGTTTTTATTTTAAAATGTGGCTTAAATCGTCAAAATGCCGAATGGAAACATAGACCTAGATATTCAATGTTCTGTCACCATCAAAATACCGAATATCAAAAGGTACCGTTATATGGGGGCTATCCCAAAACGTGTACCGATATATCCCATTTTCAATGCCAACCATCGTAGACACAAAGCAAAAAAACGGTGCATTTTTGATTGTGATTTCAACAGACAGAAAGACAGACATCGTTAAATCGACTTAGAATTTTATGCTGATCATAAATATATATACTTTATGGAGTCTATGACGAATATTTAGAGGCGTTTCAAACGGAATGGTATAAAAAAACGTGGAAAGTGAGGGGGAGCTTTCCTTATCTATTTAGGCGAATAAGAACTTTCTATACGCCGGAAGGAGTTAGCCGATATTGTCGTTGTTTGTACCTGACGTTAGTGTCTAATATAGTTATTATGATGTGCGAAGTTTGAATCAAAACCCTACGCAATATATGAGATTTATATTTTTAGGAGTGGAGAAGCGTTGGACCATTATTGCATTATATCTCCGAATTTGATATAAATGTAGCCAAAATTATAATATGGCCAAAGTTTAGATCAAATCGGATACTCGCTTTGGAGCCAGACAAAATAGGTAGGGTAGACTAAAAGTAGCGGGCCCTCTCAGAATTGTTTCTGTAAAATATATAAGTGTAATATATAAGATAACAAAAGTATGAAAATATGAAAAATTCGGTAAATATTTAATATAAAAACATTTAGTTTTATTAACGAGTGATCTGCTTCACCTGTCTATTCCCCTTAATAACTGAACTTTTGAACGCTAAATAAACCAATGACCTATGCAACCTTTCAATAAACTTTTCTCAACAAAAGAGCTTTTTAGTTTTGTTTACATTTTAGCCATGGAAAAATGCCGGTAAGACATTGTTTACTAACGCTGCCGTTAGCAGTTCAAGGTAACTTTATACATAGAAAAAACGAAAAATAACACCGCAAGAGAGTACGTTTCCTCTCTCTCTCTCTCAATCGCTCTCAATTAAATCACAACTCATACGCATGCGTGCATTTCGATTTACTTTGGAGACTTTTTCAGTTCCGCTCTCACTGAAAGCTTTCGCTTTCGATGCACATTTTTGTGGAGCATTTACAGGTTGGCTGTTGGTTGTTATTGTGTCGAGTGTAAACAGAGAGACCCCCAACGTCTCGCGTCGTCCGTCCATTCCCTATCTAAGGGGAATATTTGAAATATTTTGTTGTGATTTTGTTTTTTTGGTAGCTTAGCTGGTTGGCGGCTGGCTGGTTGGGTTATATTATTGCCATTTTTCTCGAATTTATGTTGTTGTTTTCGACAGCTATCGGATTGGCGTGTGTGTGTATGGTTTTGCGGCATCTGAGTATTTAACTGGAGTATTTGACCATTAGTGAAACAGTTTATTCCTCACAGAGGAGTGAAATAGATTAAAGTGATTTGACTAACAAAAAAAAAAATAAGTCAGCCACTAACGAGTGTCCTTGCCACAAAGTTGAAGGACATAAGAAGACTTTTTTAAAACGCGGGCGTTTTAAGTGAAAAGAAAAAAAAGAAAATTAAAACTTAGCAAAATTTAAACAAAAAAAACAAATTAAATGACCCGGGAGCCATGCGGATCCAGCGGAGTCTAGTGGTATGGAAATTAAAAATCAAATCAAAAATATATACAAAAACTCTATATAATTAAGTGTCTGTTTGAGTGGTGTCTTGATATGAAAGTGTTGAAATCACTCCCATCTTTTGCTCATCAAAAAACGGATATGAAATGAAAAATGAACCATGAAATGTTTTCCCCGCTCTATTATGTGAATGAATGAATTTTTTGAGATTTTAAAAGAAAAAAGAAACAATTTTAAGCTTCGTTGCTTTTGTAAAAAATAAAAAAACAACAATTTTCAATTCAAATGGAAACGCACAATTTTATATAAACAATATTTATTGTGGTATTTTCCGTTTTTTCGCAAATGAGTGACTGTGTGTGTTTTTTAATTTTTCTTGAAAAGCATTTTTTAACACCCATCAAGTTAATATTAAATAATTTTGCTAATAAATAAAGATTATAAATTAAACATTTAATTTATTAGACCATTGGCCGTTTTCATTTACTCCAAAAACAAAACAAAAGACTTAAGCCACAAACTCGACCCCCACCAGAGCATGTGGAAAATCAGCCAACAACAACCAAAAACCAAAACCAAAAAAGTAATGAATTGTTGTTTTATTTTTTTTTTTTCTAATTTTGATTTGGTGTTTTTCATGCCATTTCATATCTATGTTATGAGGAGTGAACGAAAGACTTAAGCCACAAACTTGAAATGAAACATCTGGAAAAACGTTATTTTATTATCCAATATCTCCATGTGTGTGTGTGGATCAAGTACGTTTGTCTGTTTGTTAAATGTTTCCATTTTGAAATGTTGTCTTGTACAGGAAACAAAGATGAACTACATATTTGTATTGCATTGTATCTCACATTGCAGATATCATGTCCGGATGACTTCCATAGGTGTAGCAGGAAATAATGGCAATGGGTTGTTGTATGCAAATCTGGATTTTTTTTTTCATATGTATTTTTTCACGATAATTTATTTTGCATGCAAATAATAAGGCAATATTTTCCAGAAGATACAGGTCAGCGTGTCAAAGGAAATAATTTTTAAATTGGAAAAGACTAATTCCAACTCAGGAAGGATATATTCATTTAATATGCTTGTTCCAGGGTCCAAGTGTCTCCCAAAAAAACTTAACAATAGGAATGTTAGGATTTCAATAGGTAATGGGAAATACAGGACATCATCCTAACAATAAATGTTGAACTTGATGTTATAATTCCTTTGGATTTTCAATTAAATCTTGGGTTTTAGGAAAGTTTTATAAAAGAAAATTGTTTCATTTTCAGGTCAAAGGCGTTTGATCGGTGCATTACATATTTAAAAACTAAATATAACTTATTTTACATCGAAGCCTCCAACAGTTTGGTTAAAAACTGTGGGTGCAATTTTAAAATTCGCTAATATTGTAGGAGAGTTTTGGGCTATATCAAAGATAATATCCAAATAGATTTTTTTACAATAAGTGTACACGAATTAAAAATGACAACTTATTGGGTTTGAAATTTAGGTGGAAACTCTCAAAGAACGTTAAATTTCTGTATTATCTTCCTCGGCAAGAGGACCAGTATATGGTGGCTCAGAAATGAATTCTCTTGGCCAAACCCAACTTTTGTGGTCACCAATTTTCAACTTTTATATGGATTCAAAACAAAAATTATGTCCAAATATGGAAAATTAAGAAAACATTAGGAAAATTTATCCCACACAGAGATTGAAAATTGATTTTTCGGTTCAAAATTCTATAACTTTCAAATGTTTAGAGATTTAATCTTAATTGGATAAATGATAATAACAAAATCGGTTCAGCGGTTATGATGATCGCAAAATATTAAGGGGATGAAATGAAACAAAAACAGATGTTTTTGCTGATTTTGCAATCACTCTATATGTCGCAATTTAAGACCGATCTAAGCGTAATTTCACGAAGAGGTAGAATTTACGACAGAAGCCTACCATTTTGGTTGGTCATCGATGGTAAGACCTCAAGGACTTCTTTGGACAAAAGGGGACTATAAGGTTTTCCATGGACAACAGTAGAACTATGGACAACCGGAGACCTGCAGGTTTTCTATAGACAAAAGAAGACCTCAAGCTCTACTACACACCTGAAGATTTTCTATGGACAACATAAGACTTCCTGGTCTTCTATGGACAATAAAAGATTCCCAAGTCCTCTATGGAAAATAGAAGATCTCAGGGTGTTCTATGGACAATAAGAAACCGGGTTAAATTGATCTAAATTCCGAAATTTTCATGCATCGCGAATATTTTTAATACTGCAAGTCCTGACCCTTCCTAGACTGAAATCGGCTGAAATATACACATGAATCTAATTTGAATTTTCAAATGCGGTTTTGAATTCCCATAAATACGATAGAGGACACAAAACCCACTATTAATATACGCGTTTAAGATACTTTTAAAAATCCGCTATCACAGTTCTTTAAATTCTCAAATACTCCACGATTATAGCTCAAAAGATACATTTAAAATTAAAGGCTCTTGTTAAAATTTCTGTTCAAAAATAACGTATTATAGAATGAAAGGTCCTTCAAAAATCCGCGGTTACACCTCAGATAATCCTTGAAAAAATTATCTTTCAAAACTATAGCTTGGAATGGCCTTTAAATAAAAATCTTTAAAATATACGCGGTTATAGCTCGACAAATCCTTAAACTTTAAAGGTTCTTTAAAAATATTTCCTCAAAAATCAGCGGCTGTAGCACCAAAAGTCCTTCAAAAAATCTGTGTTTTGACTCTGAAATTCAAAAACTATTGCTCAGATAATCCTTGAGAAAAAATGGTAAAAAATGTTCGTCTGTAGGTATAAAGGACCATATTAAACCAAGATTATGGCACTGATCATCCTTGGAAAAAATTGCACGATAATAGGCCTAAGGGTCCTTGAACTAAAATTCTTTATAAACATCATTTAAGTTCTGATTAAAGTGCTAAAAGTTATTAAATAAATGTCTTATGCCTCTAGGATTATAGCTATTAAAGTCCTTGAAAACATATTTTTTGAAAAATCTAAGATTTTTCCTCTAATCTAGGATTTTGACTTTTCTATGAAATACCCACGATCATGAGTCTAATAGCCCTTCAAAAATATTATTTGAAGACCATGATTATAACTCTAATGATCCTCAAAAAACTTTTTTTTCCAAAATTCTAATATTGTTGCTCTGATAGTCTATAAAAAATCCAAGATTATTGCTATTATAATCCTTGCAAAATATTCTTTCCTAAATCCATGATTGCAGCTCTGGTGGTCTTTGAATTAATATTCTACAAAAACTTTTAATTTCCTTGAAAAAGTTTTCTTTAAAAAACGGTTACCATTTTTTTTTTTTTAAAACCAAAGTTGAAATAATTTTCTTCAAAAATTCCACGATTCGTCGTCTTCCACGATACTTAAATCCAAGTCTGTAGATCTTAAAGTCCACGAAAATATCATTTAAGAACCCTGATTATAATTCTTGAAAAATAATCCGTCCGATAAAGGTACTTTAATAATACTGTTAAAAATCCAAGTTAATGGAAAATTGAAATAACCCACTGATGAGAAATTGAAAAATATTGTCTTTAACAAAATATTTTTTTAAATCCTTGTCCATAAAAAATTTAATTATCCTCTTTTGATTTTCGAATTTTTTCCCAATTTTTTGTGTTTTTGTACCACTCGACAACTCAATAGCAAAATACTGAATTCGGTATAAAAAACGCTTTCGTTTTCTTCCCAATTGTCGATTAAAGTCATCATTCGAATAGAAGTCAGAAATATCCAGGTACTTGAAACCTAACTGGATTTCGTTCGAATAGGAAAGGAAGGAAGCATTTCGATTGTCTTAGAGAAACAGGCCATAAGTTTTTCCTTCGAATCAATTTTCGTATCATCATAAAGAAAGAGGCTTGTGTGCTATACACCAGCTTTACTGTCAATTTCCCCGAAAAAAAAGTTCCTTTCTAAAAAAATCATTGGAGAAGTGTAAAATAAAATTTAATTCACAGAATAAAAATTATTTTTTTGTGATTTATATTTCACTTTTTAACATACCCTTGTTGCCGAAATATATATCTTGTTGAAGATCGAAAAAAATGACTTCCCATTTATGCGAAAAAATATATCACATCGCTAATCACACCATCACAATTTTTCATCTAAACTATTACATGAGCAAAACAAAATGAATGACCAAAGCACGACTATGTAATTCATCATAATTCCAATGCATATTCGCCAAATCATTAACACTCACCTAACCAACAAAAAAATAAGTTGTGCAAAAGAGAGGTAGGAAAAAACAAAGGCAAAAGGCTTTTGCCGAAGCCCCCCAACTGGGAGCCAAAAACACATAAACACACAAAAATCCCAAATGGCCTGACAAATTGGATAATAAACAACACCAGAAATTGAATGGACGAATGAATGACTGGACAATATTCAAACCAGGTGATATTATCTAACAATGATGTGGTCTATCTTGGCGGAAAACAAAAAGAAATCCCAAATTGGGATTAGATCTCAAAATCATAATATGGGGCCAAGGATGTTTTATTACCATGTTTTTTCATGCATTTCCTGTAATGAATTGAAGCTTTTTGGTAGTTGATGGCCACGGCTGTTCACTTTACTTTCACTTTGAGCACTATTCATAAATTAACACTTGCCGCCAACACCAACAACCACACATAACGACAAATCCACGATTGCAGTAATACCATTAAACAAAAAACCCACAAATCTGGAACACCATGGATCGAACGTCATCGCAGCATGCCCAGCCTCGATACAATCGAAATCGTTCAGAGCAAACTTTACGGCCAGGCTCTAATGAGATGAAATGACATAATAATAGAGTATTACCTCCCCTCACCACCACTACCCCCCCCCCCCCCCCCTTCGGGGAAACTATTTGGCAATACGATTTAGATTATGTTTAAATTTAACAAATAACAACAAAAAACCAACCTCAGTAGCTAAATTAACACCTCTTAAAGACAGATGGATGGAACGTTG